GTGCCTCCTGTACTTACACTCTTTAAATAAACTCAACACTTTCACCGTAGCCGCATCCTACGCAATCCGTAAGTTCATGAGTTTGATGTAGTGTGATAGTGACGTCACTCAAGTAGTCATCACGTCCATATTTATACCACTGAACGTTGCCCTGAGTAACTTCAGTCGTCAACCTATCACGATGAATTACACGCACACTATGGGAACACACATGCCATTATGGACATGTGACTTGGGGGGCTTGGAGCTCACTGGGGCATTTGGGGGCCTCCTGAGCTGGGGCTGGGAGTGTGGGGGACAGGATTGGAAACTCCTTTTCTGCTCAGCACTAATAATATTAGCAAATGATCAAGATAAAACACCCACCTCTACCTACTGCCCTAAACTCTTCTCATCCAACCTCTCTAGGGGAGAAAGAGGCTCTCTTCCAATTCCCCAGAGCAGGGGAGGATGGAATTACTTCCCTGACAGGCTGCATGTGGCAAAGGACAAAGTGGCCTTGAGATGGCCACGATGAGAAGCCTGCTAACCAGACGGAACTGGAGATGTTCTGAGTCAGGGAGCCAAGGTGTGAGCCTTGACAATCCAGTCAAGTGGGAATTGCACCCGGGAACTATATTCACACCTGGGAATCAAGGCTTCAGGAATTGATCAGAGGCAACGGGGCTGGGGAGAGGGTTTCTATCCCCACACAGTGGTGGGAATAGAATATGTGGGGCTGCTGATAACTCGGAGCCATGGAGGAGGTCCTGGTAGATGACTCTGAAAAATACACTCACACTCCCGGAGCCTCAGCAGCTGGCTTATTCCAGGATAGGGCCTATCCCTTCTTCTTCCCCAGTTTCTCTGCATAACTCCACATTCATAATCCAATCATATATCACGTTCTTTTTTAGTATTTTTTTTCCCCCTCTCCCATTAAGTGGTAAAAGCCAGGTAACACTCTTCTCCAGGGTTCCGCCCTACACTGGTTTCATCTGCACTCTGTGCAGGCTCTCCTCTTCAAAAGCAGCAGGAAGGGGGGTGGTCAGAAAGGGGGGCACTGCCTTGTCACACCAGGACTCAGCAGCACCTCCAGGGACGAAGTAGCTGAGTTCTCTTCACCCCGGTGTCTGGGAATAACCACTCCTCCCAGGTAACTCCCGCATCTGTCCTCCCTGCTCATCCTTCTCTCTCGGTGCATCTTACTTGCCTTAGAAACCAACTCTGGAGAAACAGACCCCACCCCCCACCAGCACTACATTCTTTAGACAAATTCTGTTGCTTCTAATATCATCGGTCATGGAACGATCTTTTAAAATGTTAATAACTTGGTTCATTTATATAAAAAGGTCAATAGTAGAAAATCCACCCCCGCCCCGCCCCACACCTGGTGTCTCATCTACAACTTAACACAAGGTTCTGTACTTGCAGTGTGCTCTCTGTGACACCAATGCAGGAAATAAATGAGTACAGATTGAAATAATTATGGGAAAAAGCAAAAATTATTCTGAAACCAGTGCTGACTTTTTCTTTCAGTCTATATTTTGTTTGTTTAATAAAGCATCTGAAGCTAGAAATTAAGAAATAATGATAAGATAATGCCAGTTTCTTTCTAGGGCATCAGCAATGCCCAGAAACCTAAATTCAATTTTATATTTTAATAAAACCCTCCATATTCTCTGCATTAGAGTCAGGAAACTGATTGGCTTCATCCCAATTGCTTTTCTTGCACATTAAGCTCAATATTGCATCTAATCATCTGCTTTGGTTCCTTCTAAACATACCCAACCTAAAACTTGCCTCAGAATCGGTCCAGTTGATAAAACCTTGTTATCCTTTTTATATGATCGATGTTGATTCTACCTATGCGAACATTATTCTTAATTATCGTTGCTGCCTTGCAATTTATAACGCAGGCCGCCTAAAAAGCACAAGCCATTATTTGATTTGGCTTTGCTCACACGCCTTTGACAGAGCGTGCTTTAGCTTCTGACAACCTCCATGGTTTGATTCTTATGCTTGGCCTCTGTGTTGAATCCATCTTTGAAGTAAAAACAACCATGATATGCTAAAAGCCTCTCTGGGAAGTGTGAGAAGAGAGCACTGGGATAGAAATGTGTGTGGTACAGGGGAGCCGAGCGCACGGCTGGGGCTGGAGCGGAGCTTGCAAAGGAGTTTCTACCGACCATTTTGAAATAACATTAGCCAACGTAATAGTCCAGACTGCACATCCAAACTTGGGAGACCAAATACCCTGACTCAGACTGAATATACACTATATCTTCATCAGTGGTTGTGGGCTGCTGAAGACCCCATTTCATACAGATCATATAAAATATAAATTTTTATTTTAGAGAAGGGGTGTGTTTGATGAATTGCAGGTCGACTTTTCTATAGGTCGAAGTGGTTCAGGGGTGGCATTTTCAAATGGTTCCACTTAAAAAGTGGGGAAGCCTAGAACTTCTTTGCCCTCCCAGGGAAGACTGTCAGCGATCTGGAAACCCCAAGGGTGGAGTCAGTGTCACTGTGTTCAGTAAATCAAAAATGCTATTAGTGGAGTAGGTGCTGGGCGTACGGGTCTACTTCTAATGGTGGTGCGCTTGGCACAAAAGGGGGAAAAGGGGTGGAGATTTAACCCAGCTCCAGATTAGCTCCTATTTTTTGGACCATATGAAAACTTTACATGTTCCTTCCAAATCTTGTCTGTCAATCTGTAGCCACTCTTCATTCACAGAAGGTTTAACGAAAACCCAAGTAGCTCACTTCTTCTATAACGTGATCATTACCAAGGCTGACGGTCTGATACCTTTCCTCCATCCACCCCCTGACAAGAATATGACAATGTCTTTTTGAATTTTGAAGAACAGAAATTTTTATGAAATATTTAAACAATTCAGAAGTAAAATTGCCTTCATTATCCTGAGTCCCCATGAGATAACCAGACCTTCCAGATTCTTCTATGCAAATAAATATATACCTCTTAAATGAAAAACAGTCACGCTGTATGTCCTATTCTACAGCCTGCTTTGATCACATGACACTGTAGACATTTTTCCATGTCACTACATAAGGATCTGCTGTAATCATTATAATCATTGAATATTATTACACTCTATCACCATATTATCATTAAAAAAATCATCAACCTCCTAAACTGGACAGCCACATGCAAAAAAATAAAACTAGACCACTATCCCACACCATACACAAATATTAACTCAAAAGAGTTTAAAAACTTGAATGTAAGACCTGAAACCACAAAGCTCCCAGAAAAAAAAAGCTAGTATGTTCTTTGACATTGGTCTTAGCAAAGTATCTTTCTAGATGTGTCTCTTCAGGCAAGGGAAACAAAAGCAAAACATAAAAAAAATGGGATTACATCAAAAAGGCTTCTGCATAGCAAGGAAACCGCAAATAAAATGAAAAGACAACCTACTGAACGGTGGAAGATACATCCGATACGAGGTTTATATACAAAATATATAAAGAACTCATACAACTCAGTAACAAAAAAATAAACCACCCAATTAAAAAATAGGCAGACGAGCTAAACAGACATTTTTAAAAGCTGCCTGAAGAAGATGGCCAACAAGCACATAAAAAGATGTTCAGCATCATTAATGATTGGGGAAATGCAAGTCAAAACCACAATGAGATATCACCTCACATGTATCATAGTGGCCGTTATAAAAAGACAAGAAATAACAAGTGTTGATGACGATGTGGAGAAAAGGGATCTCTCATCCTCTGTTAGTGGGAATGTAAATTGGTGCAGTGACTATGAAAGACAATAATGGAGATTCCTCAAAAAATAAGAAGAAAACTGCCATATTACCCAGCTATTCTACTTCTGGGTATTTATTCAAATAATATGAAAACACCAATCTGAAAAGATATCTACAGTAGCCAAGACATGGAAACAACCTAAGTGCCCACCAATGTATGACTGGATAAAGACGATGTGGTGCGTGTATGTGTAGGCCTGTATACATATACACACAACGGAGTACTACTCAGCCAACAAAAGATGAAACCTTGCCATTTGTAACAACACGGGTGGACCTTATGCTAAGTGAAGTAAGTCAGATGGAGAAAGATGAATGCTGTATTATTTCACTCATATGTGGACTATAAAAAAATAATAAACAAACAAAAAGACCCCAAATAAATCAACAAACCAAACCAAATCAAAAGGAACACGTAGATACAGAGAACAGAGTAGTGGTTATCAGAGGGGAAGGGACTGGGAGGTC